AAGACAACATACTACATATGAAGCCATATCACATATGAAGTGAAATCACATATGAGGACATATTACATGTTTGAAGGCATACTACACGTTTGAAGACAACATACTACATATGAAGCCACATCACATATGAAGTGAAATCACATATGAGGACATATTACATGTTTGAAGGCATACTACACGTTTGAAGACAACAGACTACATATAAAGTCATATCACATATGAAATCAAATCACATATGAAGACATACTACATGTTTGAAGACAAGATACTACATATGAAGTTATGTCACATATGAAGTGAAATCACATATGAAGACATATTACATGTTTGAAGACAACAGACTACATATAAAGTCATATCACATATGAAATCAAATCACATATGAAGACATACTACATGTTTGAAGACAACATACATATGTATGAAGACAATACATGTGAAGTCATATCACATATGAAGACATACTACATATGAAGTCATACCACATATTAAGACATACCACATATGAAGTCATACCACATATGAAGACAGTATATCAGATATGACAATACCATATGTGAAGACCAATCCAAATGACACGATGGTAAATGATATGACACACGACTTCCTGCCATCAGTTAACAAAGAAGATCAGAATGTAGGTAATTCACGAAGCGAGTGGACGTTCCAGAACACCCGTTACAGTATCGAATCGCAAGGATAGGAAAATTCCAGCAAGGATTCCTGTCGCGTCGATCCTTCTACAAGGAATCGTTCGATAGGGATTTCTACCCACGGTGCCAGACTGGCGGCCGTTCCACTACTGTCACAAAATATGCTGATATAATTGCTCTCGAGAACGAAGATCTTAACGAGGCTACCGAGGAGCGTCTTCGTCGCAGGCTCCGTCTAACGACTGCTCGCTCGTTAATTACACCGGTGGCAATTAAAGTAACGACGAGACGTTATTGTCGCGCGAGGAGGCCGAAACATCTGAACCGCAGTTTAGTTCATTTGATCGCTCGCGAAGTTTCATCACGTATCGGATATTGCTTTACTTCGGATCAATTTCAACTTGATCGAAGCTCGCCATATGAAACGGAACTTCCACGATGTAATAAGAGAGTTTATGGGCGGCAATCGTGGAAACCATGGCCTCGGATTATAAATACTTCCGAAGTTATGGAAATTTATGGGTAATGAAATTCTTGGTGGACGGCAGGTAGGAATTAATTAAAACCGAGACATCCAATGATGCTGGATATGTAAATTGATACGTATCCTTGAATAACCTGATGAATAGTCAGATCGAGTATAAAGTCCGGTTGAAGTTTGATCTTGCTGAGAACAATTGTGACAGACTTACGATTCATGTATGCAGCATATAGGTTAGACAAGGATTTCTAGGCGAAGAGATTAGAATGAATACAAATTTTGGAATTAAATTTTAACTGTCATAGTAAAGTTTAAAAAATGGAGACTTCTGTACATACACGTGTTTAAATTCAGATTGTCAAATCCTAAAGTTTTAGGACAAATTAAAAGCTCTGAAGTAAAAGATTTTAGAAAACTATGAACAATGCAAGCAACGGACAGTGCGTAGCAACGATGTCACGTAATATGAAAATAGAAAGTATTACACGAAAGGCAGTTGAAGCCACGAGTGGCACGTCACGCAACTCCCTCGATTGTTCGCTAACTGGATAATTAATTAGCGGTGCCCCGATACAACTCACAGTTTCTGGTATCCATCCGAATCTCACGAGGGGAAAAAGAGGAAGAAAGACGAACACGCTCGAGAATTATCAGCAACGCGACGAAGTGGAATCGATTCGGTTGACCTCTTTGCGACCGTGTACCATCCTGGCGGTTCATCCTTTTGTAAACAGTGGATAACTCGAAGAAACAATTATCCGACCGGTAGACAACGGGAGCCGTGAAGGTTGCGGAAAGATTGAAAAAGACGCGTCGCCTGAGCAAAAGCAAGCTTTGGTTAAGAACAATGGCAGTGTCCTTTGAGGAATAATAGGCTCTTCTCGTCGAAGGAAAAGCGTCCTTTTTGTCTCCCTTCCCGGCCGCGGCGTAATTTGCTCGGAGAGCGTCGACGGTAAGCACCAGCCGGAAAAAAGAAGAAAGGAAGCGGACGGGGTGAAACGGGGGGTGGAAAAAAAGAAAGTCGGAAGAATGAGAATAGACGTCTCACTGTAGACTGTAGGCGTTTCGGCACTCGAGAGGAGAGGAGCACGTTCCACTCGAGTCGGCGAATACGAGAAATCCACAGGAAAGCTACGAAAACTCGCGACAGAGGGGCTACGAAAGCGGAGGACGCTCGTAAGCGGGTCAACGACATCGTGGAGTGGCGAGTTCATGTTCATTCGATCGACTCGGCCCGCGACGCCGTTATCACCGTTTATCGAGGTGTTGTTCTCTGGCTGCGTTCATTCCCGAGAGATCGGCATCGCACCTGCTTTCGATCGTCTCGCGCGGAAACAGACGAGGAAAACAAATATCAACAGCTTGGAAACGTCGAAAAGTGGCCACGGTCGCGTGCGTGTTTCTGCAGCCTGCCGGCAGGACGCGTGTTGTTTTCGGGGCTGGTGAACCGGAAGCGCGACGCGATCCTCCGGTGACACCTCTCGAAGGACACACCACGTTAGGACACCAGTTAACCACGATGGGACGACGTTTCTCCGCGTACTGACACTACGTTCGAACGAACGCGATCCGCGTTCCTGGGTTAGTTGATACATCGGCCTAAGGGTTTGCCGACTCAACCGCTCTGTGGCGCCACCGGGGAAGCCGGACGACACCCCCGTAACTATATCGATCCACAACCCCTCTGCCGCCCCCGATCTTCACCACCCGTTGCGACCCACACGACAACGCCAGGCCACTGCACCCTGAAGGCAACGTGTCCTATCAAACTCTACCTATATACCCGTTATGCTACTCTCCCGCTATCGGTGTGCAAGTGTGTCTGTGTAGCGAGGCTTGTGTGCGACGACCGATCGTCGAATCGCGAAACCACGAGGCGTCTTCAACCACCGTCGATGCGGTCAAAGGTTTACGTACAACGAAACTGTGTCATTCGGATGAATCGAATGTTTGGATGATCAGGTCGCAGCGAACGAGAATAGAAAGCTGTTTCTTTTTCAGTTGGACTGAGGGAAATTATTTAAGTTTACCTGATGTTGTATATCGTGTCAATATTTTAAGTCATTATTTTTATACATGGTATTAATATAATTGTTAGTTACGAGATTGTTGGAAATTATTTAAGTTTATGGACAGCTAAAGTTGTATGTCGTATCAGTATTTTAAGTTATTTTCTGTTAGAACGTGGTATTAATATAATTTTTAGTTACGAGATTGTTGGAAATTGTTTAAGTTTATGAACAGCTGAAGTTGTATGTCGTGTCAGTATTTTAAGGTATTTTTTGTTGATACATGGTATTACTATAATTGTCAGCTACGAGACTGGTGGAAATTATTTAAGTTTATGGAGAACTGGAGTTGTATGTCGTGTCAGTATTTTAAGTCACTTTTTTTTGTACATGGTATTAATATGGTTGTTAGAGCTTCTGTATAATGAATAGACATTTTCGTACTTTCAGAAAGATCCGAATTTCTGAATAACAAAGCCTGAAATTAACAGAGAAGTAGATCCCCAACTCCCAAATACCTAAATATTTAAATCCTGAGAACAACCAAATTTTCAAAGCCTCGAAGTCTAATTCCCAGCTTCCCAAAGTGCCCAGACTCCCACATTCTTTACGTTTGAAATCTCTAAATTATAAAATTTCCATAGTTTCAAATGATCCAAATTTTTCAAGCCTCCAAGTACCTCAATTTTCAGCTATCTCTAAGTCCTCCACTTTTCCAACTTTCTAAATCTCTCGGACTTAAATTAACCAAATGTCTAAAGGCCTAATCAAGTTCCCAAGTCCCTAAATTTCTAATCTTCAGAATCCGAGTTGACCAACCAGAAGCATCGAAGAATATCTGCATTTGGGCAGTGAAAGAAACTATGTTGAATTTGTAAACGATACGAAACACATATTAGAGAAGGCTGATCTGGCAAAGTTGGCGACCAAGAGGACACTCGGGCATCGAAGGACGTCGCAGCTATTTCAGTATAAACGCGGCATCAGAGCATCCTGTCATTTAAAGTACAATTTTCAAGAATAGACCGGTTACACAAGACACTCGTATGAAAATAATCTTATTATACTCTGCCATTGCTCCTGGTCTTTTTCAAATTGACCCCTCCTAATCTTTATCGAGTTTTCACTCTATAATTTATTTTTCACAAGGTAATATTTTATGAAGCATAAAGGTTAATTAGCTCTTTAATTTAATCGTAATTGCAACTGTGCAACGGTGTTTGCGTTAATTGTTGAATGGTTAACAAAGGTTTGAAAAGGGACCATAACCATCTCTGGGCTCTTTAAATTATTCCTCGTGCCCCAGAGAGCTATTATCGTTTATTTTATTAATTTAAACTTTGAGCAGAAGGGTAGGCTAGTATTTCATTTTATATTCGCTCTCGGACACTGAGAACCTATTATTAACTCTAAACAGCCCACATCTTACAGATGAGTCAATAAATCGAATAGAACTTTGATTTCTATTGCCACAATTCTGTCTGCGAGCAAATAAAACAGAAAGAATATTCGAGTGGAACATAGACTTCGTTTAGATTAAGTACTATATCATTTATCTTCGATTTTCTGGGATAAAAAATTCGGATCTGAAGACTTTTGAATTTTCAAGATCATTTCCTGATTCTGAAAGTCCTCAATGCCAAAATTCCTCAAGTTTAAAATTCTCAAGTATAACTCAAATATTTCTGAAATTCTAATTTTTCGACTTTGTCCTCAAAGGTCTAAATCTTGCAAGTCTCTAAGCGTCAAAATATTCAAATATTCAACAATCAAGTTTCTTTTATTTTCATTGTTATTTTTCTTAGAAATACCTTTCATGTTAATGACTGGATAATTCATGAATCCTCTATAATTTACCTTCCTTCTGCCAAAGGGCTTGTAATGCTCCCTCCTAGCCGGCCGTCGAAGATGCGCCATACTTCAGGGTACACGACTGCAAAACAACTCGCAGAAGTGACGACCGATCGCGCGAACCGCGTTTTTTCTCGCGAAAAACACCGTGAGTGAACAATGAGATGAATGAAACGTTTACACGATCGCCTACGTGATCAGCTTTCGTCAGCTTCGCGAGTCCATCGACTTCCGGCACGAGCCACGTCGAGTCCTGTTTCGAAACCGCATTTATCACGGACCGGTTGTCAGTTGTGTCTCACTTCACGCACTCGATGACTCCGTTTCCGGTGTCGATCGCATCTATCCTTCTCTCGGATCGGATACCGGACTGCTAGACAGAAAACGGCGTAATTGTCCCGTGAGAATTAACGATTAATAGGCATCGTCGCGAGACGTCCGATCTTTGGATCCATGCCGAACGTTAAACACGATAGCTGATGACGCGGATCTTCAAGGTGCATACAGTAACGCATAAACCATCAGCCTTAACCTTGACTTTTGAACCACGACTGCCGTCAAAACAGGACCTATGGTGGATCAAAAAAGTATTGCAACATTCTTACGATATTTAGAAAAAATAAAAGGGGTTGAAAATTTTAACATATTTTGCGGTGGTAAAAATGTAGAGTTATGGTCAGTATTCGTATGTAGATAATTAACACGTTCCGGTGTAACAGGTGCAGAGGTCGCTGCCCCATGTAATATTACACGGGTGAGACAATGTCACGAATTAATGAACGTGGAAATTATATCTGAAAGCTTGTATACAATACTTCTTTGATTCACATAACTGCACAAGCGTGTCTATCCCGGCACAGAGAAAAGAAAATAACGTTACGATCGAAGGAATGTATCCGTATCCACGAATAAACCTACCACTCTTTCAATTCATCCCGTTCGGTTCATTCATCCACCTCCACACACACACGCACGCACACACTATGACCGGTCTTTTCCTCCGGAAAGAGCCACCAATTTAAATCGCGAAACACTCGGTTCCTGAGGAGGAACGCGGCACACGTGTACACCGTGTGGAACGAATCGCGCGTCAAGAACGGTCCACGGGATCGATACGTGGCCGATGATCGATCGATTCGCGAACGGTCTGGAGACTTGACGTCCCGTTTTTTGCCCCGTTGTCTCTTCGACTTAGAGACGGACAGACGCTCTGATCGTCGATGAAACTGGTACGAGACGAGGCCGGTATGCTTGTACGTGTGCTACTGGTGCGACGAGTAGCTCGAAACCGCATTTATCACGGACCGGTTGTCAGTTGTGTCTCACTTCACGCACTCGATGACTCCGTTTCCGGTGTCGATCGCATCTATCCTTCTCTCGGATCGGATACCGGACTGCTAGACAGAAAACGGCGTAATTGTCCCGTGAGAATTAACGATTAATAGGCATCGTCGCGAGACGTCCGATCTTTGGATCCATGCCGAACGTTAAACACGATAGCTGATGACGCGGATCTTCAAGGTGCATACAGTAACGCATAAACCATCAGCCTTAACCTTGACTTTTGAACCACGACTGCCGTCAAAACAGGACCTATGGTGGATCAAAAAAGTATTGCAACATTCTTACGATATTTAGAAAAAATAAAAGGGGTTGAAAATTTTAACATATTTTGCGGTGGTAAAAATGTAGAGTTATGGTCAGTATTCGTATGTAGATAATTAACACGTTCCGGTGTAACAGGTGCAGAGGTCGCTGCCCCATGTAATATTACACGGGTGAGACAATGTCACGAATTAATGAACGTGGAAATTATATCTGAAAGCTTGTATACAATACTTCTTTGATTCACATAACTGCACAAGCGTGTCTATCCCGGCACAGAGAAAAGAAAATAACGTTACGATCGAAGGAATGTATCCGTATCCACGAATAAACCTACCACTCTTTCAATTCATCCCGTTCGGTTCATTCATCCACCTCCACACACACACGCACGCACACACTATGACCGGTCTTTTCCTCCGGAAAGAGCCACCAATTTAAATCGCGAAACACTCGGTTCCTGAGGAGGAACGCGGCACACGTGTACACCGTGTGGAACGAATCGCGCGTCAAGAACGGTCCACGGGATCGATACGTGGCCGATGATCGATCGATTCGCGAACGGTCTGGAGACTTGACGTCCCGTTTTTTGCCCCGTTGTCTCTTCGACTTAGAGACGGACAGACGCTCTGATCGTCGATGAAACTGGTACGAGACGAGGCCGGTATGCTTGTACGTGTGCTACTGGTGCGACGAGTAGCTTTTGGAACGCATCACGACCTCCTCCGCTATAAATAAAACGGTGGCCGCCACACCGAAAACTCTGCCAGCCAGCCAGCCAGCCAGAGAGAGATCCGTCGTAATTTTCCTCTTTCAACGAGGGAACACGGGAAGAAGATGTACTCTTGGCGAGTACGTGAATCAGCGATCGACTGCATCTAATTTTCGGATTCCTGGATACTCGGGCACTTCTTGTTATTTACTGGATCATAGTCACTTAGCATAAGTCAGCTTAACATCTGACCATAGTAGCGATTAGTGTGTTTAAGAAGTTGTGAAGAGACATGTAGACTCATTGTAATTTAAGGGTTTAACCTTTAATCTGCTAGTACGTCTCATTGTTAACCCTCTGATGTTTCTTTCTTCTTCTAAAGCCTTTTTCTGTTTAATTTCTACGGTTACATACGAATATTCTATGATTACATATGAGCATTCTACGGTTACATATGAACATTCTATGGTTACATATGAACATTCTACGGTTACATGTGGATGTGTTAATGATATGGGTTAGAGGCTGAATCAGTGATGCATGTCCATGCAAGAGAGGTCCCATGGTAGACGGTGTGGACAGCCATGAAATATAAGACAGATAGTTATACAGCCTCCTCCTATCCATAACTCGAATTTATTTTTATATTTACAAGTTTATTAACTTGGTAAGGTGAGAGGCTGTAATCATTGAATTTCGAAACTTGAGACGAGATGCAACTTTTATCAGATGGTGCGGTGGAGGGAAACTATGAAAATAGTATATACATGTAGCATCCACAATTTTATTTGGGAGACCAACTTTTAATATTCTAACAGATAAATGATATACAGTGTCATAGCATAATTTGTACAGTACCTGATGTTACCTTGAATTAAATGTAAAGAAAATATAAACAGTGTCATGGTATAATTTGTACAGAACCTGACGCTACCTTGAATTAAGCATAAAGAAAATATAAACGGTCCATACATCTGTGTGAATGATAAATAACATGATTATACACTGTCCTACAATGTAACGTGTATTACACACTGACCGTCCAAAATTTCATTTAGATTCGTTCTGATTAATCAGATTTCAAGAAAAGCTACATTGTAGAATCAAGTATCCGATTTACAGGGACTGTGAGTAATCGTGTTGTTTAGAGAGACATCAAAACGTCAGAAACAAACGGGTATTATAATCGATAAGTAGGTCTGGGTTGTGTCTAGGTTGAATCGACGAGCTACTAAAATTTGTCAAAGCTGTTGAACAGGTAGCTCGACGCCAAAGCAAATAATCTCGGTATCGCCGTTTCTAATAATGTTCGAGCATCGAAGGATCGATGAAATCAATTTACGATTTCAACCTACTTCAGCCATCGAAACGGCCAATGATATTTCACTTTTCGTTGAAAACTTCGGTCAACTTGCTCCACCGAGAGTTTGTGTCTTGGAACAAGATATCTTTGTGAAGAGTTGAAGACGTTAAAATGACTCTTGTAGAGAACACATAAAAGTGCAATTATCAAATTAACTTCAGCTGCAGTGAAGTCAAAATGGATGAAGCGTTCAAGAGTAATTTCGAAAGTAATTTCTCTACCAGGATTTCAATCTTCGTCGAGTTTCATGGAACGGTATTTCAAAAAACGTGATGGGAAAATGTATTATGGAAGGGAAATTGAATTAGCGACAATTAAAAAAATTGCTGAACGTCTTGACGTCAAAGCTGGTTAAAATTCTTGAAGAGACGTCAGAAAAGTTAGCATTGACAACGAACTGCTGAATCTGCATTCTTTACGACCTGTTAAGACATAAGTATTCGGTCGTTGCTACGCTAGGAATTTCATTTAGACCAGCCAGCATCTGTAAATCCTTCAAAATCTTCGGATGACGCGTTTCTGGAGTAATATTTTCAAAGTTATGAAGGAATTGCTTAAATGAGAGAATTTGTAAGAAATTTCAAGTTCTGCTGCTTTTAAATATATTTTATTTTAGAGCGGTACATTAGAATTTTATAGTGAGAAATGTTCTTGGCAACTTCTTGCACTGATGTGTATTCTGGTAGTTATGGAATTTCTTAGAAAAATGGCGAAGGGGTGGAAAGAATGTCGCTTATTTTAGTTAATAAGTTTCTGAATATAGAACTTGTAAAATTAGGAATTTGGAAGTATGTAAATTTTGATGATTTAAATATTTGAGAATTTGGAAACTTTGATTCGGAAATTTGGAAATTTACAAGCTTGAAGATTTGTAAATTCAAAAGGTTATAAATTTGTAAATTCGAAAGGTAAATTTGAAAGTTCGAAAAGTTTCTTAATTAATATATTTGAGAATAGTTCTGAAAGTTTGAGGAGTTTCTCTTATAATTCTTCGTTCGAGCCCTACATCAAAATGCTTTATTAAATAAAACGATCAGTAGTTATAAGCTAAGAAGTTGTACCGGAACGAAGTCTACTTTCCGTAAGAAGGTAACTAAGGATTCTTCAGAAGTGGAGGCATCTTGAACAACTCAGTCGCCTCTTGTGGTTGATCAATGGAACTAAAGTCCGCAGACATTTCTATTTCCCGCCGAAAGGATATCGACAATGCAGAATCCTCTTTTACCGACTAACAGTATGGTAGACAGGTACAAACATCCTGAAGACAACAGTTCACACCGTCAGATGACTCTAAAGTGGGAAAAACTAATGTCCCAATTTCAAATTTGTAAAATACGCTTTCAACACTTTTACTTATTGGAACTTTTCAATTCTGTCAAATAGAATGGAGATAAAACATTTATCAATTTATACTAAAAAGATTAAATTACATGACATATCTATATTTATATCATTTCTGAAAGTTAATGAGGATAATACAAAAGCCTCTTATAATCTATCTATCTATAAAATTTATTCAAGAAATATTTTTGTCCCAAACGATTTCCTCACATATTAAATACGCTGATTTTTGAGGTCCCTTTAATCAAATAACAGAACAAACAAGGTTTCAATAAAGATATGTCTATCAATAATTATTCATATTCATGGAATAAATAGTTGGTTCCAACAGAAAAGACTTTTGCGTGAAAATAGATCAGAAAACCTATCAACGGTATTACCATCGGTCCCGAGACTCTCTGAATAAACGTCCCTCGTTATTGTCATCGAGAAAAGCATCTCTTTGTCGAAAGAATCGATGCTAAATGTACCGGCTCCGAAAGTCTGAGCTTCTCGGCTAGATGAATCCACAACGTTTTTAAGCGCCCTTTACTGAAACGTTTCTCGTTTTAATTATTCACTGTTCGTCGTTATTTTCGTGCCGCATTCAGCCATTAACTGTTTCCTCTGTGTACCAAACACTTTTATCGCTCCCGTCCACTCATTATTCACCAATTGCCACCAATCCTTTCAATGAATATTGATATAACCGCTTCTACTTTTCGTACTTTATCTGAATAAATAAAAACTTATTCCTTGGTACACGGTATTTCAGCATCTTTGGAAGCCGTTTCTAGGTTTCTACATTTCTGGATTTTTAGATTTCTGGATTTCTGGATTTCTAGATCTTTAGATTTTTGGATTTCTAGATTTCTGGATTTCTGGATTTCTGGATTTCTGGATTTCTGGATTTCTGGATTTCTGGATTTCTGGATTTCTGGATTTCTGGATTTCTGGATTTCTGGATTTCTGGATTTCTGGATTTCTGGATTTCTGGATTTCTGGATTTCTGGATTTCTGGATTTCTGGATTTCTGGATTTCTGGATTTCTGGATTTCTGGATTTCTGGATTTCTGGATTTCTGGATTTCTGGATTTCTGGATTTCTGGATTTCTGGATTTCTGGATTTCTGGATTTCTGGATTTCTGGATTTCTGGATTTCTGGAT